AAATAATATTCAGTATATAGAAATGACTTAGGTTTTATTTATTTAGTATTAATATAGTAATACATTTTTCCCTATTGGATAATGTCTTTAAAATTTGCCTAGTTGTACTTAGAAATGCTAAATGTAGTTTTATTTTAATACTACTGAAACTACTGATACTAAAGGTCTATATGGGATAGGTTCTTTTGAATAGCCTTTTACAACTTCTTTGAGTATAATTTCATCTTTACTTTTTAAATAAATATCTAGATTAAAATAAATATTTTACCAAAGTATTTTACTATTTAAAAATAATATTTTCATTTTAAAAATAGGTTAAATAATATTTCGAATTAATAAACGGATTTGAAATTCTAAACGTCAATATATTAGTGAGCAACTAAAATTAGATGGTATTTTACAATGAACTGCTAACTTTGTAAGTTTTTGCATAAACAAATTTAACAATTTAGAGCTGGAATAATAATCAATTAGCTTAAATTAATGTAAATTAGTTGCTCCAATTCTCGGGTCTATTTATGCTAAGCATTGATGATATACTTTTTAATTTTATTATTAGTAGCTCCTAATAAAAGTGTGGGATCTATTTTGATGGTATTACTTCAAGTGCTACTATAGATAACATAAGTATATCTTCAACAGATGGAACATCTGATTGCTTCTTTTTTTAAATAAATAATTCTTTCTTGACTTTTAAAAATATAAACATAAAAAGTTTAGATTTTTCAAATAAATCAACTTTAATAACAATAGTTAATTCTTAATAGGTAATTTTTTAAAATGTAAATTTAAAATAAATGAAATATTTTTATTATATTAAATAGATTGCACTTTAAAATATTCTAATAGATAGCTGTAAATTAAGTGAAAAATTCAGTATATTAACCTAATAGAGCGATGTTAATGTTATTATTGATACTTTTATAATTTAAAATAATCTATGCGATATAAATTAAATTTACTATCCATAATTCTCTGGTTAGTTATTTGAAGCTGGTTAATTCAATGTAGCTAATATGACTATATCCAATAATCAGTTTTGTAATTTATAGATATTCTCAACTATGAGCACAATCTAACAAAAAAACTATACTTTTTAGTTCTAGAATATAACTATGTACAATAACTCATTT